CCCTGGCTTGCCACTCCCTCCATCCCCTCCTCCCTCTCCCCGCCCTGCGGCTTGACAATCAACAAGCAATATGACAGTTTTATCTTTCAGCGGCAGTCGCACTGGAAATTCATTTTCGATTCAATTGTGAATGCCACAGCCACAGCCGACAATTGTCGAATTCAATTAACGCTTGCGGCAGGCAGGCAGCACCACTGCCAAGCGTTACTTAACGCCACGAACCACCCATGCCAGGAGCCACCCGGAACCCACCCCACCCCACCCCACAGGTCCAGGGGAAGCGAAGGAAAAAGGAAGGCGGAAGGGAAGCCGTAGCTGTGGCCGTAGCTGTGGCTGTTTCGCCAGGGTAACGGCTATGCCCAATGCTGTGTCACAATGTGAATCGGGTTCGGGTTCGGATCCGGGGAGTATGGATGTGGATGGGGATGCGGCTGCAGCTGCGACTCTGCTCTCTGCCTCTGCCGATTGGCCGGAACGCGGCTGCAACGGCAACGGCAACGGCTACGGCTACGCTGCCGCAACGCTCTACGGCATCGAAGACTGCCCCCAGCAACGAAGGACCAGCGCTGGCAGGCGTCATGCATGCACTGTGCACAGTGGGGCAAAAGCCGCAGAAAAACAGAAAAATACAGAAAGTACTTAATTCGAATGAGGTTTTTTTTTTGTTTTTTCAACAATTTCGATCATAATAAAAATTAGAAACATTTTTGAATAGTTTTAGTTTTTTTTCAGCTTCTTTAATCACCCATTTCGATGGATTTTCCCATTTCCAATCCAAGAAACAAAACAATTCCTCTCTAATTTTCACCAACATTTGCCACAGTACCAGCGTCAGCATGGCTTCATGCGACCCACTGTGCGCTGTCGAGTACCCTCTGGGGACGACGACGACTCATCGCAGCGGAAGCCGCTACAGCCACAGTCATGGGCTCGACCAATGGCAGAGCTCACGCCACAGCGGGGCAGACGCATGCGCACCGATGTTGCACGCTCATTGGCCCGCTGATGATATGGGGGCTGGGATTGCGACGGCCGGCGGCTGGCAGTGCCGTGAAAAACCGGTTACACCAGAAAAACGTTTCGTCCGTGAGGGCGAGGGTGACGCGAGGGGGGCCGTGAATGATTCTTTCGGTGTGTGCGTGGTGGGTTTTCAGTTTCGCTTTGGGCCTTCGTATTGGTATTGTTTTTCTGAGCGCGATAGTGCTGGCCGGAGTCTCAGTAGCCAGCGCTGGCTGATGGACCACGGGCGCCGCTACACTCCTCTCCACAAATGATCGATGCGTTGGCAGTGCGATTCGCGTGCATTTAGTCGAAATTTTGACGGTCGAGTGACAAGGTGCGCCGCGACGCAGAAATTCAATCCGCTATCCGATCCGATACCCGTCGCGAGACCCAACCAACACCTGACCTGACTGTTTTGCCAGGATAAGTGGCAATAAGGAAACAAGTGTATCTGTATCTAAAACTCAAGCAAAGAAAGTGAAGTTTTAAAGTGCTAATCGTAAAGGGATTGTACCAGAGCTTACCAAGTGGATATCCAGAAGAGCAAGAGCACTCTCTCCAGTGCTCACAAGAAGGTGAGTGCGAGGAAGGCTCCCCCAGATGGTTCTAATCTATCAAAATATCTTTAGAAGGCTGTTCCCTCCTCTATTGTTCAGACAGTTGACAAAAAATAGTGGCGATGCCTTATTAGAGACTTAATTACGACTTGGCCACATCCATCGCATCGACCTGGCCCATAATGACCACCATAAACGATTCGTAATCAATTTGTTTGCGCATAATTCAGTTCCCCAATCCCCGATGATCTCCCATTCGAATGCGATTACGAATACGAGTATAACTAAATCATTAAAACGTGGCGAGTCTCGCGATCAGGTTGCGGCTTTTTTTGAAATGCTTAATAATGATATTTGCTTATCGTGTTCAACACATCGCTCACAGTTGTGTCCCTCTGCCCTCCGCCGATCGATCGGCTTATTTCTTAATGAACGACAATCTAACGGATCGGAACGGAACGAAGCCAAGTCTTTATCCATTCAGCCTCTGTCTTCGCTATGAATGAACATTGGAGTAGATGATGCCATTCCACCGGACGGATATTGCTCCGATTTCCACCTTTAACAGAAGCCGATGCCACAGCGAATTTGCATTGCAAAAATCCAATTCCCAATTGAACTTCCGCCGCCCTCGGATAACTCATCTCAGATCTCAGCTCTACGATTTACGGATCAGTCCTCTCTCTCTGTCTGGGCAAGAGCTCAGTTTTCCCACGGATGCCCAGACGGAGGGGCCCGCAGAGCCCGACAATAGCCAAAAATCGTATGCTAATTAATTCTTTGTCATGCCGGTCTTTGGTCTTCGACCAGTGGCCATTGTGGCCATTATGGCTCATTGATTTTTCGGAGCTTTCTATCGAGCCCCAACGAGCCACTGGACAACTTATTTAAGATCTAGACGGTGGACGCATTGAGCCCCTGCCCTGCTCCATAGCTAATCATATTCAAATTGTGAAGCGTACGTTTTATTATAATTTTTTTATTTTAATTAGCGGCTGTTAATGTCGCAGACCGAGCCCCAGCTACCCACAGAATGCTCTCTACATCGATCGAGCAGTGGGGGTCCGTCCCGGGGTCCGGTCCGGGTGATCTGAAACAGAAGCTCGGCCAACCTGTCGGTTCCACTTTCAGTAATCGCACGATTTAAATTATTGTATGTTTAACTAATTTCTATCGGTTTTTATGTCGTCTCTGTTACGCTTGACATGTGCACGCGGACTAATTGAGGCTTACGGGTCGGGCCACTGGTGCTCCACACAGAGTGTGCTCCTCCGCCGCTCCGCTAGACGGAGTGGTCTGATTTCTCCAGAGAAAACAATTCCCTATCCAGAACCTGAACCCGCTCAAAGTTATCTTTCGATTAACGCTTTTGTGGCGCTTAGACGTGATATTGATTCTACATCGAACCTCAAACATAATCCCAATGGTTTTCCACTGATATTTAGAGAATATTATAATAGGAACTTAAAGTAACTTTAAAGTAGCAAAAATCCCAAGTCCATAATATATTTCCACTTTAGTGAAGTTTTTTCTTGGTTAGACTATTGCAAACTATAGAATTACTACCAAACCAAGAACGGAATATCTATAAGAGAAAAGGTCTTCATATTGAAATGGGCATCCCTGCACTCATATTAACCATAAATAACTATACATCGCGCTGTCTTCTATCTTCTGATGAGCTGGAATTGAAAACATTCAGGGTAGACATCCTTCAGAGCGCGAACTCCTCCCTTACCCCATTCCCTAGTAGACATATCCCAAAAGAAGAGACCAAATCGCTTGGGTCCTGGTTCTTGGTCCGATCTAGGGGTGGAAACCCTCCTAGAACCGCTTCAACGCTCAAGTGCTCATTGGCCTCGATTAGGTCCCATTTCCAGTTAAATGGCAGGGAGGCACGCCAAGTAGAGGTCCGTCCAGAGAAAGGGAAAAGGGGGAGGTGTAATTTAACCCCTTTTCATTGCATCTAAATTGGCTTTGGTCGAAATGTCTATTTCACTTTCTACAATAGAGTTTCGGCCAAAAGTGGAGATGGAGATGCGAGTGGAATGCAATGGAATCCTTATCGCGGTTTGGTCTAAGCCAAAAGCCAAGAGCCAACTGCGAACTTTATGGCCTTAACGGCCAGCACGAGTTTCCCGTTTGACGGTGAGCGGCGGTAAGCCACTGAGAAGTGGGAACAGAACCGCCGACAGCCAAAAAACCCAATGAACAACTTAATTTCAGAGTCAGAGTCGGAAGGGAAGAGGTGAGGAAGGGAGGGAGGGAGTACGATATGTGGTGCGTGTGTACACGCGGATTTCTTGGGTGGGGGGCGAGCAGGGGGATTTTACGAGCTGAAAAGTATCCCCAGACTAGGGCCCAGGACCAGTCCGGCCGTGGTCCTGCAATTAAATCTTATGTGAATTCCATAATAACATGGCCATGACAAAGTGTGGGCTGCCGGGGGAAGAGGGAGGGGGATAAGAGCAGTTACACTTTTGATTTATACGGTTCTTCAGGTCTCTCAGGCGTTTTCATGCCTGTGACAGGCTGGCGACAGGCCCGAATCCGAATCCTGGCCTTATTCATTCCAGCGACAGGAAGCGGAAACCACCCGCCGTCGCTGAAAGCCCATTTGCATATCTCTCTCTCTCTCCATTTGGGCCACGTTATTTAACGAAATGAGCAATTGGCCAAAATTCATTTTAATTGTTAACCGCCGGGCATTTGCATATACTCTTGTGTATAGTATGTGGCAGGCAGTCGCGACATGGACATGCAACGGGAAGGAGGAGGTTCCCATTCCAATCCCAATCCCCGTTCGTGCCCCCCTACCTCTTCCCCCTCCGATAATGGGCCAGCAGTTCACGCTGCGTCGAGAATGTGCCTGATAAGCAGCTAATTTGAGATACTACTCCCCAGTGGGGACGGTGCAACCGATACGAGCCAAACCGAACAGATCCGTGGAGCCACCAGCACCACCATCGACCGGCAAGGTAACTCCCTTGCCGCACACTGGACATGGCCATTGAGCACATAAACCACTGCACATTAAATTCCGAGCCGAGCTGAGCCGAGCCGCGTAGTAGTTTTATAAAATAATTAAGTTTTATGTATTTTCCTTACTAGATTTTCACTGTTCTTCGGTTCGGTTCTGGCCACAACCTGGAGAGCGGAGAGTGAACAGCAGAGAGCAGCGATTTCGTGGAAGCCGTAAAACCTCTTCGGAGAGCGGGCCGCCGTCTGAGGAGACAGCATCTGTATGCCCAGCATCGGGCAGCAATCCTAATAGCTGCGCCAGCGACCACGACGACATCCATCAAAGCGCTTTTATGGCGTTCTTGCTTGAAATTTGATTAAAATTCAGCGATTAACTAAACAACATCCAGCAGCAGCAGCAACAGCAGCAGCAGAAGCAGAGGAACTTAACCAAAATACTTGACGACGGCAGCGACGAATCAATCTTGGATTGAATTGTTGATCACATTTCTGTCTGGGTGACGCCGAAGAGAACGCCGGGAATCGATTTCTTCAGCCTTTCAATCATGCCACATACAGGTGAGTAGAGTAGAGTGGAGTGTTTTTTTGCTATCGAATAACCCGCTAATGAACTCGAAGTTCGAAAGCGCCAGATGAGATCTGTCCAAGAGAGTTCAACGCAGACAAAGCGTTTATCCGAAAGAAGTGCCACACCAGAAGATACGGCTATTACGGGAGTGGAGTGCGCCGACAGCAGCCTTTACGATCGTGGGCACGGGCCCCAAGATTAGCCAACACTCATTAGAGTGGCCGGGAAGGGGGATGGAGGGGGTCGTATCTGTATCTGTGGCTATTGTAAATCTTCGAGGGCTTTCGTGCGGTTTATTGAAGCTTAGGAACATGTACGTAGTACTCGTAAATTCCAAAATGTTTGCTATGCAAATGTTTCATCCAGAGGCTGGGGAATGGGGCATTGCTGGCCCCAAGGGGATCTTCAAGTCGAATGGGAATCTAATGAGAATATCCTTTCTTTTCCTTGCCAGGTCAAGCTGGTGTCAATCAATTGGGCGGCGTCTTTGTCAATGGACGTCCCCTGCCGGACTGCGTCCGCCGTCGGATCGTGGATCTGGCCCTGTGCGGAGTCCGTCCCTGTGATATCTCCCGCCAGCTGCTGGTATCTCATGGTAAGTGTCCGCTCGACAGCAGAGTCCAGGGAGTCCCGCCCCTACAGCCATCTCTTTCTTGTTCTCTCTTCTTTCCAAAGGTTGCGTCTCCAAAATACTGACACGATTCTACGAGACGGGCTCCATACGACCGGGTTCCATTGGTGGCAGCAAGACCAAGGTAAGTTGTGGGTCGGGGGTCGAGGAAAAACCACATGTGGTCTCCAGGTGCAGGTGGGTGCGGGTGTGTGTGTGGGTGGAGGGTGGAGGATTGGGGCATGAAATCAACAAACGATTATATAAAAATCAAACGTACAGCAGTAAATCCATAAAGTATCACAGAAACATGCCCAGAAATGTAGATAAGTTAAGGATTGTAACCCGACAGATACATAGTTTATGTTTTGGCTACCATGGGGATGGCATAGATGGTTGGTGACAGCTTTTATGGTTGACTGAGGGTCATGTTTGTGTGTGGGTGTGTGTGGGAGGAGGCGCAACAAATCAATCTCGCTTGCTGCTGCTTGATACCCGGATGATAAGCCCATCGGAGCACGCTTTCCCTGGGTCTACTGCAGGTTGCTCTCCAGGTACTCGTCAGCTGGTGGATTCACACGCCCAATCAAGTGCGTGGCTACCGTTTAAGCTGCTCCACTTCACGGACCATGCCATACAGACACACAGACATAGACAGAGGCACCCATCCCCAAGTGACGACAATGCCCCAAAGTCCCTAGGGTGATGATAGTTCTCTCTAGCTCTCTCTCTCTCTCTCTCTCTCCGGTGATAGTGGAATCCACTATTGCGATAAGCACGAATCACGACCCATACGATACCATCCATACTCCTGCACTCCCACTCCTCCTCCTCCTCCTTCTTTTCCTGCTTACACAAACAGTTATTCAGGTGCGATGTTTGTCGACGGCACAGAACGCCTAATTAACGGTAGTTGCAACGCCCACAAAGTGCACAATGTATTCAGGAATATTCCCTCTAGATATGGGGGGTTGAGGGTGGGTGGATCCCCATCCACCCACTTACATGGTGATTCAATAACCGCCTGCACTCGCTCGAACAAAACGCGCATTTAACACCTACGCTGGGTCAATAAAGTCCACTTCCCTCCGCTCCCGTTCACTCCCATCCACCCTTGAACACTTGCAGAGGGAACGGAACGCGGTCTCTATTCCGGACACAGGCCCAAGAGCAGGCCCAAAAGCAGGAGCAGGAGCATGTTATATTCGTCAGAAGGTAAGGGCCAGTGTGCGCGTGTAGATGGCCGATAAGATCTTTTCCCGTGCAGCGGCGTACCCTTAAGCGTATTTATGAATTTTTAATGAATTGCCGCGTCACACGTGAGGAGCGGAGGCGCCACTCACTGCCGGTGGACACATCAGCTCGTGGCAGGCTCCCAGTTCCATCGAATCGTCCTCTCCACAACAAATTAACATATGCCACAGAGAGAGGGGCGAAACACCTTTCAGCGTCTCGTGTGGCACACTGGAGTCCGATGCAAATCTCTGAACATGACAGCTGAAAAGGGGCGTGGCCCAAAATGCAATGTGCACATTTTTGCACAATTGTTTGCGGCCCACAGCGAAGGTTTAAACTTAGTTTAGTTTAGTTTAGGGCACAATTGAATTTCACGGCAATTAATCGTTCACTCGTTCCATCCACAGGGAGGGTTACAGCCAGAGGCAGCCAAAGAGAGGGGTCTTTAAAGGTTGAACGCGGGTGTCTTTGACAGGGAAACGAATGGAAATGAATTTATCTGGAATTCTCTTATGTTAATTTTCGACTTATTATTTATTCTTGGTTGGGAAAATGCAGATGGAAAAATTACAAATCACAAAAAGATATGTTAGCTCCTTTAAAACTGAGTGCGCGAATATTTATCTTTGGCTAACTTTAGACTTGTTTCGGTTAAACATTTTAACAAAATAATGAAATTAAATTACGCCTATAAAAATGAGTCAATCTTATAGAAAATTGATTCATTTATTTATCGGTTACAATTATTTACATATGCTTTGAAAATCACGATGGCAAAGCTGTTAAACAGAAATAAAGTTAAATTGTGCATTTGTCGAACAAAAATATCGTATAAACTCCCAACTCTCTCTCTCTCTCTCTCTTTTTAGCAAGTGGCCACGCCCACTGTCGTAAAGAAAATCATCCGGTTGAAGGAGGAGAACAGCGGCATGTTCGCGTGGGAGATCCGGGAGCAGCTGCAGCAGCAGCGCGTCTGCGATCCCAGCTCCGTGCCGTCCATCAGCTCCATCAACCGCATCCTGCGCAACAGCGGCCTCTGGACGGACGAGATGACCTCCAGCCAGCAGAATGCGGCGGCTGCCGCTGCAGCGGCGGCGGCCCATCAGGCGGCAGGCGGAGGCCCAGGCGGACCAGGAGCTGGCTATGCTACGCCCGCGCAATTGTACGGGGGACCCAACAACAACAACAACAACAACAGCCACTCGCCCAAGACCCAGACACCGTCGGGAACCAATGCCCCGCCCTCGGCCACGGCCACGCCCAACGGCGGTCGCTACGCGAAGCCCTCAGCAATGATGATGACATCCGCCGGAGGGGAGCTGCCGCTCAAGCCGGCTCCCAAGCTGCCACCCAGTCATGGGCATTCCCACGGACACGGACATGGACATGGACACGGACATGGACACGGACATGGACACGGACATGGACACGGACACGGACATGGACAAAGTATGAGTGCGAGCGTGTCTGGTGGCGGAGTGTCCGTGTCCAGCCAGCTGGGGGGCCTGGATCTCAGCTACTCGGCCCTGCACAAGCACTGGCTGTGGAATCCCTCGCTGCTGTACTACACGCAGGCGCACATTCAGGCCCAGGCGGCCGCCACGGGGGCCCAGTTCCTGCCCTACGGCGGCGGCTACCTGCCCCACGGCATGGCTGCGGCTGCAGCAGCAGCAGCGGCTGTCGGAGGCGGAGCGTCCAATGGCGGGGGATTCACCAAGTCGGAGAGCTCAATCGACCTGTCGACGCCTGGGGCCACCGGCGACGCCCTCAGCGACTGTGATTCGGGCAAGTCCTCGCCGGCCGCCCTCTCTCTGAGCGCGGCCCGGGGACAGCTGCTAGGCCACAGCCACAGCCGAAAAAGGAACCCCTACTCCATTGAGGAGCTGCTGAAGAAGCCGGAGAAGCGGCTGCGCCTCAGCAGCGAGTCGCAGGCGAGTCTCCTTGAGGGGAAGCGGCGGAGCGAGCACCTGGAGTGCCTCTCGTCCAGCTCGTGCGAGAGCAGCCAAGACGGCTCCTCCGAGGATGTGTTAGTGCAGACGAGTCCTTGCACCCCCATCCCCCTGCCTGTGGACACGGAAGTCGTGCCCGTCGACGAGGAAGACGACCAACAGCAGGAGGAGGAGGAGGACTGCAGCGTGGAGGTCGTCAACTAAGTGCAGGAGGAGGAGAAGGAGAAGGAGGAGCATCTCTCAATGTCCCAGTTTTAGCCCTGTATATAGATAGTATTAGTAGTACTAGCTTTGCCCAGTATCCCCCCGCCCCCCTCAGTGTCTGTAATTCTATATAAATATCTTATTTAAATAAAAACGTATCTGTATCTGTATCCGCGTAAATGAAGTGCTTTGCTCCCCTGGTGGTCTCTGGTCGCTCGTCTCTCATCTCTGTCTCGTCTCTGCTGTCTATGTGGCAGTGGTAGGGGCCGAGCAGAGAGCTCCCCCTTAATTAACTTGCGCGCCAATGAAGTGTCAACAAGTTGCAACAAGCTGGAGAGCAACAGAATGGGAACTGCAACTGGTTGGGGTAGGGGTAGATGCCGCGAGATGCGAGATGCGCGGCCGGCGAGTGCAAAATTACAGGATGTCTGACACGACCATAACTATCGATCGCCCGCAGCGGCGGCGGCAGCGGTGGCAGTTGATGGAGACGGAGACGGAGACGAGCACTCGAAGAGGCGACAATGGAACTGCCACTGGCTGTGGCTCTTCTGCCACTGCCACTGGCTCTTAAAATGGCATTGGAATCGAAGGAGTCAAAGCTGTGTGGCACTGTGAGCGGAATTCATAAGCAGGCCGCCGCCTGGGGAGCAGCCGTCCATCGGACGTTCGATGAGGTGTGAAGTTGGGAAAAACTTTCCCAGCAGCAGGAGCAGAAGCATTGGGTTCGGGATCGGGATCGGTGGCTACTCTGAATATGCCACCAATAAATCAGCTGGTAAAGGCAAGGGAGCTGGCTAAAAATAATTGCCGCAACAATTGCGGCAGCCTTAAGTTATGCAAAGCGCGCGACAAAAAAAAGATGGAGAACTGTGCCGCGGAGAGCGCGTTAAATATGCGAGTGGCATAGGACCCGATCCGATCGGAGTAGTGGAAAAAATCTGCCATAATTGTATCACGTGCAGGCGGTGCCGCGGTGCCGCGATTCCGCATCCTGGCATCCTCCTGCACCTTCTCCATCCTGCACTCCTCTGCAGTGCCCTTGCTTCCACTTCATAAACAATGCTAAAAGGCGTTGAGGATGCGCGCAAGGAAACTGACGGCCAGGAATGCAGAATCAGCCAAAGAAACCTCCTGATCATGGCCAGATTGGAATGCCCTGGCATGACTATGACTGACAGCCTGACTGGGAGCAGGGAAGCCGCACAAAAAACGACCAGAGAGCTGAGAGCACAGAACAGGGAGGGTCTTGGAGAGGGGAGAGAGGGAAAGGGAAAGAAAACGAGAGAGGGAAGAGACAGGAACAGTAGACAAGATCGATCGCCGGATCGATGATGATCGCTGATCGTCGCGACGATCCCGCTCGGGCGACACTTTTAGGCCAGGGCTCGGACTGAGAGCCCATAGCCCTGGCCGGGATTGGAACCGAAGGTACAACAGAATATTTTTATACGCTCGCGCTCGAAATATAAATGAGGCTGGGCTGGAGAGGAGGATCAGGGCATCAGTGGGTCCACGGATCTCGGGGCGTTTTTGCTGTGGCCATTTGGCGCGACAAAAAACGCGCGCGCCGCTCGCGTTTGGATTTCGCGCTCGTTTTGGCCTTTTTTGTTGCCACTTGGCCAACATAGGAGCAGAAGCTGCGATATAGACCGCGAGCTGAAGCTGGATCTGAGTCTGAGGCTGGCCTCGCACGCTGGCCGGCCGTGGCATGGATTGTTGCAATGTTTCGTCGCGCTGTTTGCGTTTGATTTGTGTTTTCGGTTTTTGCGACTTGCTCTGCTTGCTCTCCGCGATTTCGGCATAAATCAAAATCCTGTTGAGGAATTGGAAATTGCAATCGGAATTGGACACAAGATGTCGTCGTCGTCTTTGCTGTCGTCGTCGTTGTCGTTGTCGTCGTCGTCGTCGCCGTAGCCGCAGTCGTTTGCTGTCGTCGTCGTTCGTGGCTTAGAGCCCTTCTCTCCGGTCATTGCGCGACAGATATTATGGCAGAAAATTTATTTTATGGCGGTAATGGTGTTATGTTTTACGCGATTAGCAGATCCAAATGTTTGACATTGCCTCGACATCGGGATGGGAATGCAATCGGATCGAATGGCATCGAATGGGATCGAATGGGATCGAATGGGATCGAATGGGATGGGGATTTGGGGGCAGCAGCAGCAGCGAAAAAGATGGCTTGGCTGACAGGAGCATGGGGCACAATTAATGGTCTTCAATTAGGAAGAGAGAAAGGATAGTCCTAGAATGGACCTAGGACTGGGATTATGATGAGATATATCTGCTTTCGGATAACAATTCCTCAGCGACACCTATTTGTAATAGTTTTTGGGGGCACCCTGACACTAACCTTTCCAGAGTCAAGGCGGGCAGGGGCTTCCGCTTTCTAGGGCATGGCCTCGGCCTTCTGGCCTTTGGAAGATCTCGCCCGAACCCGAATCCGAGCCCTTGCGTTGGTTTTCTCTGCTCTCTCTCTCTCTGCTCGCACTTTTTCTCCTCTCAATTTCGGACATTGTCTGCCCTGCTGCTCGGTTTGTTAGTTTTTAGTGCCGGATTGCTGCTGGCTGCTTGCTCCCTGGTTAAATGAAGCAATTTTTTATGGTTAATTTCCTAAAGGTGCACTTAAATGCACCTCTCGGGTGAGCTCCCCCTTCAGAGGTGACTCTCTCGCAATCGCTGTCTGGGCTACGGACGGGATGGGACCGAGTTGTCAACGCATTTCGAGATTCGAGATTGATTTCTCTGTTTTGTCTGTGGCTGTAGGCACAATTAAACCGTAAAAAGCGGCAAAGACTTGGACAGGGTTCGGTCAGAGCCAGCAGATATAAAGGAACAAGGGGTTAATTGGCCAAGACAGACAGACGGAGAGACAGACAGAGCAGCCAAGCGGCAACAGAAGCAGTTATGTTCTCATTTAGAACGCTCTCGACAACAGGTTAAGACACCGCCGAATGTGAACTAATAAAAAATTGAAATGTTTTTCCTCCATCCTCCACCCGAATGAGAAGAGACCATTAAACTGTGGGCTTTGAGCGCGTTTCGGAATCGGAATTGGTATTGGTATTGGAATCGAAATTGGAAATAGACCGACAACGATGAAGCACGATGATAACTACAGTAGCAACTGTGTGACATTTACATAATTAACCTTTATTGTGGGTATATTGATTGGGTCCCAGGCTCTGGCTCTGGCTCTAGCTTTGGCGCTGTCTTTGGCTCTCCAGGGGCGGAAATGAATCTCGAATCTGGGTGTGAACTTAAAGCGGAGATCTTTCGCAAAACGAGACCCGATCCTATCCGATACTATTCGATCCGATTCGGTGCCAGAGGCAATGACCCTTCGGTGGTCCATCGACTGTGCGGCAATAAAAGTCAGAGTTAACTACTTACAGGAGCCAACACGCCACACGTCTGTCTGTCTCAGCGCCTCCTCCTCCCCCCTCTCCCTCTCTCACCCTCACTCTCTTTCGAAGAGTATCTCCTGTTTGGTCCCCCGTGGCGCTGCGAGGAGGCCAGTGATGAATGCCCATGCCCTCGATACTCTCGGATGCAAATGAGCTGGAGAAGGAGCTGAAGCTGAAGCTGGAGCTGAAGTTGAAGGTACTCCTCCACTCGTTGACGCAGTTAATTGGGAGCTTGTGTTATGACATTCTTATCGCCGAATGCGCGTCGACCCCCACCTGTTGGGGCTGATGCTGCTGCTGGTGGCTCATAAAAGTGGTTTAGCAACGGATTGGCAGCTGTAGTGCCGCAGCCGCAGCAGCAGCCGTATCCCAATTTGCTGGCCAGGCGGAACGGGGGGTTATTCGGTTGCGAGTCGAGACATTCCATCAAATGTGGATCCGCTGCAAATCAAACGAAATGCGCATACTTCCGCATTCGTGCGATTCACCTGCTCGGCGCGCATTGGTCACATTAACACGAGTCCCGGCCCGCATTATCCTTGGCCATCATTAGCCGAGCGAGTGCCTGACTCTTGGTTCCTGGTTCCTGGTCTTGTTCGGCAATTACTCCACTCAATTGTCTTTGACGGCAGAACACAGGATCTGCGCAGGATCTGCGCTGTGGCTGTGTAGCACCTTTCCAATTTGTTTCTGTTGCACTCTCTCTCTCTGTCCCTTTGGGTCCTGCTCTTTACGAGTGACTCGCGCCTCCTTCGCTCTGGTAATGGTAATGGAATTATAATTATAGACTCGACTCGCCTCGATTTCGGCCCCCTTTCGGACGGACGCACAGGGCTAATGTTGTCAGCGCGAGTCCTGAGTAGTGTTGTCCTCAGGTGAGTCCTGGGTTCTGCGGTATTCTCCCGTGCTCTGATCTGCAGGTTGATTGTCGCCACATTAAATTGTCAAATTGTTTGCGCCTGTTATCGTGATGGGATGGGCACGTGCTCTGTCTGCTCTCCTCTCCTCTTCTCCGCTCTGCTCTGTTCTGCTCATCCATACCTGCCGCTCTCTTCGCCCTTGCATACCGGTGATTCCTGTTGACAAGTGCTGTAACTGTAAATATCCGGGCAACCTGCTCCTACATTACAAAACGTTACTCGACGATATATGGGGGCCCACTTACGGATCATATCGTTCTGTATAGGTGGCACCCTTTGATAACCCTAAAGGACTACATTACGAAGCATTCGTCCCGTTCGTCAGTCTCTCTGCCAGTTCTGGTCTGTTATGTTATATTATAGACCAGAACATCCGTAGGAATCGGTCAGAGCGGACCCCTTCAAGGATATATTTATTTATTTATTAGAGAAACCTTCTTGGCTCAGTCCGTTTTGGGTGAACGGACCTGTCGAAGCGAATCCCGGTTACTGGATTTACAAGCATTTACAGGAAAAGGTATTATATTTAAATAGAATCAAACTAATTTTTTCCTTTAGATTTCAGTTAGCTCTCATTTGATGCTGATGGAAATAAGGAAATATTGTGGGACTTTCCGTGGCTGTCTGGGCATTTGTGATTTGCTGCATAGATGATTGCGAATGTAATTGGGAAGATCGAAAGATCCTCCAAAGTGACATGAGGTCGAACAAAATTTTCCTTCAACCAACAGGTAAACTCTAAATGCCTATAAGATGTTGATACCAATAATGAGCCATTTTATGGGAATAATGCTAAGATTAACAAGGGCTGGTCGATCAGCGCCTTTGATCAAGGTCTTAAATATATTAGGTAAACGCCAGTGCTGGGGAAAACTATACCGATTTTGCGCTTCTTATCGCTTCCTTTATCTTTTCTGGAAAATAGGATGCACGATGGAACGAATTCAGTCTGTCCCAGTCACAGTCCCAGGTTCAGTGAGATCTCATATAAAATATGAAAAATATAATTGAAATCCTGGATGGGCACGTATTCAAAAATTTAATGAAGGTTTCTCAATATCGATGACGGTATTGATTATTGATTGTAAAATTAATATCGATGCTGTCATTGATTATAAAATTAGTATCGATGCTGTTATTGATTAAAATCGTAATGTAATGTAAGGTAAAAGTAATGTAAAATGTAATTGTTGCGAGGCGCCACCTGTGAACCTATAGCGCCATCTATCACTCATTCAGCACTGCGCCACAGCGCTCTCCACATTTCGTCACCAGCAATAGGTTGGTTGAAGAATTGGCTAAAAAAGAACAAACGGGAAATAAATACCCTTTTACCGCTCCAATTCGACGGGCTGCCACTTCCTCCAATCCCTCCACTCCACTTGTCCAATCAAGGACGTCACAAATGTCACTTTCATTCATTCACAATTACATAATTCATTTGTTTTGCGAGGCCCATCTTTTGGGCTTATTTCCAGGCAATTTCCTGGCTTATTCACTCATTGATTTGTAGTGTCAAGCAGGGGGAAGGGGCAACGCAATTACCCGCATGCCAACAGCGCATGCGTGACATTTCCAAGATGACTACGCGCCGGCGCGTTGTCGTTTCCTTTAGTTGCGGTCGGTGATCTGGGATCTAGACTGTGGGGTTGGGGTCTGTAACAAAATAGTTGCTAAATGATTTACAGTCGCTTTCGACCCAAGATGACGGGCCTAGCACTTTTAGTTTCTGTCCTGCCGCCCCAATGGGGTATGGGACTGGCTCTGGCTCTTGGTCAATATCATGGCAAAGAGCCCGAATCGGGATGACATGGGATGGGATATTAACCGGTTTCCGGGGCAACTGCTCAGTTTTGATCGCCTTTTGGTCGGAGCGAAGTGGAAGGAGGCAGGGCGGGGCGGCAGGAAGAAGTGCATTTTGTTTTCTGTTTTTGGCGCTGAAAAGGAAAATCAGACGGCCGCTGCAGAAGAGGAGTGCTGCAGTGTGCTTGGGCCGTGAAGTCGTCACCCAGATTATCAGGAAACTGGAGGAACCAGTTCCGCCAGCGTGATCCGATGTGGCATGCAGCCTAAATATAGAATGAGACCCCAGTCCAGTCCAGAATCCTCAATCCCGATCCCTGAGCTCAAGCTGAATTTCAGAGTTGATCCCGATCCCATTTTTTTTTTATAGTGTCGAAAAGGGGGGCCTTTTGTCCGCTCCTAGAAGTTTTGGCTGGCTTTTCGGTTTCAGTAGCTGTTCCGGGATGGTGCTGCTGCTGCTGGTGCTGCGTCTATTTATCTTATCAGCAAGTGCCGCACACAAGCGCAGATACAGATATACGTACAGATACAGATACAGCTAATACAGGGAGAGTAGCTTGCACACCTTTCGGCTGGCTGCTTACCTGTTGATTTCTGCTGCAGTCATAAAGAGAGACAGAAGAAGAGAGAGCGCTCTCTCGAGCGTAAATATGTATGTGTGTGTGTGGGTGTTATTATACCCTGCAGTCAAGGAAGTACATGGGGTATATTAGATTCTTGTAGATGCTTAGATAAGCCAGAAAAAAGACGTTTCCAACCTTATAAATACCATATACTTGTATATTCCATATTCCTTTGTCCGCCCGTCAGATCTCAGAGGCTATAAGAGCAACCGGTTTTATCTGTATCACTGTATCAATTGAATCTCAAAATGATATGTGGGTAGGGAGGGAGAATCCTCATTACGCGAAACAATATTTTATAAATACGAGAAAATCCATTAGATTGCAGAAACGATCGGATCAGAATGAAGAAAACGGCGGAGTGAGGGAGATATAATGGAACTTCGTTGCTGAGAAGATCTAAAGAGAGAGAGGAAAAGAGGACATTAGGTGCAAAAAGCATAAACGCAGTAAATGAATTATGTGTCTAATAAATCATAAGATTACACATAGAAATACTGGGTATATTGTAGTCGAGTGTCGCGGAACGTATGCTACGACTCTCAGCGCTTCGACTGGTTCTTTGTTGTTGTTTTTCCCCCTAGTATCTTGGTATCTGTGTGTGCATTCGCGAACGTCGCTTGGCAGCTACGACTTTAGCCCGTATCGGCCTCACATTCGTTCGAACGCAACGATCGCGCGCGGTTGTCTCGCCCCAGCGGAACCGTAACAGAAACAGAAACAAAAACCAAAACAGAAACCGAACCCAGAAGCAGAAAGAGAACAAGAAGGAACCCAAGAATCGCAAAGAACCGAATTGCTTTTTTTCGCAGTCCCGAAACAAAGAAAACACCCAGACCCCAGTTCCAGTTCCAGACCCGAAGTGTGAGTGCAAGTGTGAGTGTGTGCAATTGGCCAAGTTCTTGTTTTGGTCCGAAATCATAAGAGCTCCCAGAGCCGAGCCGATTACCATTCAAAGGGTTCGTGAATTCGATACGAGTGTGATTCATACGAAAAAAAAACTACAAAAACTGACCATTGGCCGAGCCTAATCCCCCGTTGTATTTGACTTGGAGTTGAGTCAGCATCCAGCAACAAACACACACGAAAAGCAAAAGTGTTAACCGCCAGAAATTGTGTAACTGTTGTCATCTTGACGCAATTAAAATTAAAACCAACAAAAGCGAAACCGAATCCGAAAGATCATCAAGATGCGGTCTTTAAACTTAATTTCTATGTCAGTCTTCGCGCTGACAATCGTGTGACAAGAGAGGGCCCTCCCCTCCTCCACTGGCATTCCATTGGCGGGCGATATCAGTGCTGGTTGTTTTTATTTTGGCAACATTTTTGGGTGATTTGATTGAATCGGCCTTAATATCAGTTTTTTTTCGGCACCCTCCGAACATGATTTAATTAAAAGCTCAAATTGTTTTTTCCACCAAGAACCACCAACCACACAAAAAGTGTTCGTGTGTGAAAGAGAGAGAGAGAGAGCCAGAAGGGCGATGGGTTTATTACTTGTTTGCTCTTCTTCATAGCTTTTTTATGATACGCGTACTACTACACATGTACTATATAGAAACCATCCAAATATTATATTTATCGTATTTATCCATTAGGCAGCCGCCATGCCATGTTTTTCCACATTATTCGTATTTTTTGTGCCTGATTGAGCATCGGATTCGGTAATGGAAAAAATGTGTGCAGCATTTTGGCTTTAAATGCTTTATGGTTTAATTTTCTCGTTCAGCAACAGCATCAGCAGACGATTTTTAAAGGCGACCCCAAGACTGCCCGAAGACTCATGATTGATGAATCGATTATTGGCAAACATTTAATGGATCTCTCAGCGATTGAGTTAGCGATGAGTCATCCTTTGTTGTTTTCTGTACTCTTATCATCTCCCGAAGACCTAAATATAGCCCGATCTGGGACTCCGTTGTGGGCGGTTGGAAAACAGGATCATGGGAAATAGTTAACTCACAGAAACAGAAACCGAAAGCACCTGCACAACTTAGTTGTAAAAAATAGACAGACTTGCCAATAGTGCGTTTCATTATGAAGAGTGCCTCATTTGTTTATCCTCTAGATCTGCAAAAAGTAATTACCTTTATAGATCCATCGAATCGACAATCTACCCCATACAGCCATGAAACGCACTGTACACATCCGTGTGTGTGTGTGCTGGGAAATGAAAACAAAATACAAACAATTAGCAAAATAACAAAATACAGTACAAATCCCGAAACCAAGAACCAAATATAAGAACTACAGAAGGCAGACAGACATTGGCAGCCGTCTGGGATTTAATTTTTGTATTTTTTTGTAGCTTTGTAGCCGCTGCTCCTCTGCCTCTGCCACTGCCACTGCCACTGCTCTTTCCGTATCGGTTGGGAATTGAGAACCAACAATGTCTATATAGTGAGGGGCCTCTGTCTGTGGCGGCCCGAAAGCAGAGCCACCGACTGCGGCGTCGACGGCGGCGATGCCAGCGATGTGGTTGAAAAGATTTTCCCATTCGAAAAAATAAAGCGAAATGCACATCAAAATTTTTCGGTTTCGTTTTTTGCTTTAGTTGAGAGAAAATCGTCGCTTAGTTAACGTCGCCCCAAAAGAACTGTACATTCTACTGGCACCGTCGTACTATCGGAGCACTATCGAGAAGAACAGATCCGAAACACACGAAACATACAGATCCGAGATCCGAGAAATCAAAGTTAAAAAATCTAAATCAATACCGAAACCAAAACCGAACCAATCCTAATCCAAAACCGAATCGGAACAGCTCGGACGCCAGTCCATTTCCACATCCACATCCGCATCCGTTGTACTAATCGTATACTCCGATCATCAGCAGCAAAGTGTGTATAATCTGAACAGTACCTATAAAATATATATAAAGTTATACAATAACTGATAGATCAGTTCCCCATTTTATCCCTATATATCTACCCCTTTACAGTCCTTTAGTGTGTGAGTGTGTGTGAAGGTTAAGCCAACAAATAATGAAAATCAATTACGAAACAAAATAAAGTGCACGATTTGCAATTTAAATCATAGTCTGGATTGCTAAAATAACTAAAGATATATATCTTTTTTAGATACAGATAGACACAGATACAGATACACAGCTAGACATACGTCGTAGATCTTCGGCTCGTTGAAATTGAATAAAAATTATATATATATTTTTCAAAAACGAGAAGCGAGAAAATTTTTAGAACATTTTCAAGGTGAGTTTATTTATAGCGGCCGCGGAATGGCTGCTGGCTGCTGGCTACTGGCGCGGATTGGATTTTCGCTTCCTCTGGCGACCACCAGATACAGATACTCGTACAGTATCTGCGAGACAGCGGTACACAAATTGCGAAAGTGTTTGGCGCCATAATTTCTGCGACATACCCGAGATATTTCTTATTAATGATGAAGCGGGGTGGCTCTAGGTCGGCCCCCTCCCCACTTCCACCCACCGGTGCCAAGGAAAAGAAAGAAAATAAGAAAAAATTATTTTTCACTTGGCAATCGTCGTCGCCGTCGCGCTGGCAGGCAATTGCTTGTGCGATTTTCTTGGCTACTCTTTCTAGTTTTTCCTTTTTTGCTTGATCTATTTTCGTTCAGGCTTTCGCTCTCTCTCTTTCGTTCACTCTCTCGTTCTCGCTCTCTAGCTCTCTGATATCACGTATGCGCCGCTGTGAATGGTCGTTCTCTCGTTTTCGATTTTCCATCCAGCAGTGGTGTTTGTGGTGTAATTCTACCAATATTCTTGAGGTTTCTCCTTCGATTCTATTGGGTTTAGAGTTCAGTGAACCCCTTGACCATCATCACTCACTCGACGAACGTCAGTCAATGAATCAATCAATCGATCAGCCCCCATGCACCTTTTTAGAGCTCTCCGAATAACAGTTCGTCACTTTTCCAATTATAGTGGGGCTGTAATCATATTTTCAAAATGAATCGATGGGTGGGCCGATAAGCCCTCCCCATAAATATTTGTGCGCTAATGGCTACTGTGGAAGATCTACTCCACTCGTACTCGTAGAATGAATGAATGAATCGCCCTTGTGTTTGCACGCCTTTCATCGCGTTTATCAGTTCGTGTCGCAATTAATTATCAAGTGGATCGCCAAAGAACTTTTCTGCTGTTGTATGCTGCTGCTGTCTGCAGTTGGGGATCGTAAATTAGGGCCGCCCAGGAAATGTTGCAAAGCTCATTAGAATGCCACAATCCGACTCTCTAGAGTTCTCATTCACATCCTATTTTCCGGCAAACTGGCAGGCAGCAGGAAGGGAGGAATGAAATGAAGGCATTCCCCGAGTGCGTGACAATATTTCATGGCTCGACTTCGTGCAATCACTATATATATAATCAGGGAACTTATTAGGAGGGGGGGAGACATGCTCTACATATTTTCAAACAGCTTTTGCGTATATTTTAATTAGTGCCTACCCTCTCCCTCTCCGACCCTTCCTTCTCGACAGCCACTCCGCATTGCACTGGCATTTTGCTTTTGCAGAAAATCATTTCTCAAGAATTTAACCTTCATGAACTGTCATTCTATAGGTTGTGTGTTGCATGCCCGCCCTCTCAGCTTGCTGAGGCATGCACATATTGTATTTCTCAGTGCATTTCAGGGTTCGTATGTCATTCAGCAAACTGAACGCGAATCAAGACCGAAAGACAATAATTAAAGAGCATTCGAGACGAGCTTCGGGAGAGAGCGGAATACAGGGTGCTCCGCGGCGGCATTCGACCTCATTCGAGCTAATCTTGAAGTCGAAATTGGGAGAAGTACTTCAGTTTCATGGTTTCATTTTTCGCTTTCTATGGTTGAAAAATGATCATCCAGAATGGGACATACATCGCCTGTTCCACCCACCCCTCTGTTGACTCTCATCTGGCGAATCCTTTGCGACGACCAGCCCCTGACCTTAACTACTTACATATGTATCTTTTGGCCATCACTTTGTCACTTTCCAAATACGCATCATTCGTTGCCAGTGCAAGACTTGTGGCTGGCACACTTTCGCAGAGATCACGAGAAGAGAGGCGGGGGAGTTACACAATACCAGAGAGTATACGAGAGTATTCGAGTGTTCGAGTAGCAATTTGCGTAAAAGTAATCACGTATCCGACGCCTTGCAATTATATAACCGCAATGCGTTCAAAATAAACACCCACAGAGGCAGAGACAGGCAGAGGCACAGACAGGCAGAGGGGCAGAGATTCCATAAAGAAAAAGAAGTGCAGACAACAGTCAGTGCGGACGCGGACTCAACTCTCGTCTCTCTCTCCGTCTCGCTGTCTTTCTGCACCACAAACGTGACTGGCAAACAATTTTCGGTTTCATCGCCTCGAAAAGAGCCACAAAACCCATCGCAAGATGGCCAGAGGATAGGGGGATTGGGGCTAGGGTTAAGTGGTTTGCTCCGCTTCGGGGGAAACCCGCATCACCGAGTGGCTTCGCGACCAGAGTCCCGCTTTTGTTTATGAATTTAACCGAAAACCGAAAATATATATTTATTTTGGCTAAAACGCTGAACAAATTATAATTTTCATGCGGCGGCGCGCGCCCATAAATCACAACGTGCAACATTTACGTGCAGCATTTATTTTCCCTGGGGATTGGAATCGAGAATTAATTGCCACGAACATTTGCCCGAGCATTTTTAAATGTTTAAATGTTCATTGTGGAATGTTGGTGTTGGGAGGGCTGTTCAAGAGATATTCCAATTTCAATTCGAATACGATTTTCATTGGAAAAAATATTGCATAGTGTATCAGAAACCTATTTTCGTTGGCCTTGCCTTCCGCCCCCACAGTGGAGCTGTACCCGTACCCATACCCGTAAACTTACCCACACCCGGATCCGGACTCGTATTTATTTGCTCAGCATTTCGGATTTTCGGTGTTTTCGGTCTTCAAACCGAATCTATTTCGATCGACAACTGAAAAAGACGTCAATGCCAAAGTCAGAAATTTCAAAATCTGATTGACGAAGGCAAAACGAAAGCGAAAGCACAAGCAAAAGTGGGAGGAAAAGTATCTCAATCGAAATCTGAATGAAAATTACTGTGGGGCCGAGAGCCCCCATCCATAACCTTACCCTTGCTGACCCTGGGCCGGGCAGCCTTCTGCCGATTCGGAGGAGGAGCAGAGATCTCTCTCTCTCTCTCTCTTCGTCTGGGAGAACCATACATCGGGGGCCAATGCAGCTCGTATTACGTCGTGATGCTGTTCCCCTCCCCGCAAAGAGCTGGAGGCACCGGGCACTCGAAATAGTTTCGTTTCGTTAAGAGATGATATTTTTAGGACCCGAAAGTGACACTTGTCCGTGTCCATTACCACGGATGACAAATGGTTTTGCAGAGGCAAACATTTCAGATGTTTAGCATTTCATTTAGTTTCTGATTAATACGTATCCACACACACAGAAGGAGCAACAGCAGCAACATAAATGGGGGCAGAGGGCAGAGGCATGTTTCAACAAATTCATTCGAGTGTTTCCAATGTTCTCAGAATGTTCGCTGGATGCTGAAATCGGGCCGAAACGAGTCGTCCGTCGAGTCGGGCCCAGCACTTTGTCAGCCTTAATTGCAGCACTTTGTAAAGTGTCACAGCGACTGAGGAGGAGGAGTGGGATAGGGATATGGGCTGGATGGTGGCATGCAACAAGTGTGCCGCCTGTGAGCCTTCTCCTAAAAACGGAACAGCGCTTTTGTCTATTTTCGACAGAATTGTCGGCTGCCATTCCAGCGGTAGGTGGCATTATCTTTCTGGCTTTCTGGCCTCCCAATTAGCGACGGAAATTTGCATTTTCCCAATTGCATTTCGGTTAATCGCATTTTGTTAACCCATTAAAGCCTACCAATTATGCACAAAAAGGTAATTACAGAAAGCGGAAAGCACACAAAAAAAAGCGAAATGGGGAAACAGAGAAGGAATGAGGAAAGAGGAGAGCAGAGGAAGGGGGAAATAGTTTTCAGTTAATTTCATTTTGTTCATTAATGTTAAATCAAATGGCAAATCAATTCCACACTGTATCTATATATGTATCTGTATCTGTGTCTGTATCTGTAGCTGTAGCTGTGGCTGGGGACTCTGTCCGATAATCTTGTTGACTGCATAATGAGCTACAATCGGGTAGTTAAAAACAGGGATAGACAGGGACTACTCAATTCCTATAGAGAGATGGAATCCAACTAATCAATAGAGAAAAAAGTCTCTCTCTCTTCATAGATATCGTATAAGTTTCACATAAAGGGGAATCTTTGATATATTCTGGGGAATCTTAGAAATCGTTTAGTTCTTAGAACAGAGATATTCATCATCTTAAATCTTAGCCTCTCTTCCTGAGCTTCTACACTGTGTGGTGTTCTACGACAAACAAAGTAAAAGATATCCCAGATATCAGAGAGATCTATAGATAAAGTTAGCGAAGATGATGATGCTTTTATCTTTCGCATAGATAAGGGATACATTTAAAAATAGTTTTTTTCTCTTTATTCTATATTTCTCTTTATATTTTTGTACTTAAAGCTCCCTCCACAACGATGTACGACTTCCCCTTTGAAAGGGAACAAAAGTTTAAATTAAATTTGCGCACAGAAAATCCCATGCAAAGAGCAGGTTGACGTGCCTATTAAATTGTCATTATCTATGCCACATAATGGACTGGGTACCCTCGTCCCCCTCTCCCACTCAACTCTCTCTCTTTCTGTTCTATGTACTTTTTGTGCGGCTAATTAAATAAATGCGCTGATAATTACGCTTTATTAGCTCAGAACAACTAATATGGCATTAACTATTCCAGTGACAGATTTTAAATTATATTTTGCGTATTTTTTATAGCCCGACTTCCGA